CGGGGAGGCGGACGAGGTGCCGTAGGGGGCTGGAGGGGAGGGTGCAGCATCAGGGGCCGCCTCTGAAATCACTCCCGGAGCGGGAGGAGCGTTTGTCCGCTCGCGTTTCGAGGCCCATCCGGGCTCGCGTCCCCCGGCCCAGCGGAGCCACGGGATTTCGAAGAGTTGGGGGAGGGAGGGCTGCCAGTCTCCCACCAAGCTGACTAGACAATTACGAAAGTTTTTAATTAGCTTCTTGTTATCATTCATTTTATTAATTTCCAGAACTCTCAGGCAATGAATTATTCAAAGGACAAGCCGACCCGAGCGGGACTGCTGGGCGCCCCAGCAGCACGTTCCCGGCCCGGCTCGGGCCTCGCCGCTTGCCCGCTGCCCCGCGAGGGCGGGAGGCGGCCCGGCCCCGCCAACCGCGGTGGCACAGAGGTTTGATCAAATATTAAATAACGTAATTATTACGACAAGACTTATCTCGCAGGTGGGAAAGAGGTCCCCCGTGAGATTTTCCGCTGCTATTTTAAAAAAATCAATTAAGCTTGCGTTCTCCTTTGACACCCAACTCGAGAGGACTGGGGCTAAGACTGCGGCAGCAGGAACACCCATCAGCTCACCCACACCAGAGAGTAATTGTGATCATCACCTTTGTCACCTCGCCGGCCGCCAAGACCATTCGAATGGGGTGGGGAACGCTGCTTTTAGCCAGGTCAAAAGTCACAATTCCAACTTCATGGATTAGAGAATGAAAGCCAATCCAAGTGAAAGACGGGGTGGGATGCTGCGGACAAGATTGGCAGGAAAAGACCAGGACGACGGGGCAGGGAGCTGAGGGCGCTAGCTGGCCAGGTGAGTCCTGGACCCAGGGCACCCTGTCCTCCTTTGGCGCAGCCTTGTGTAGGAACGGGACCGAAGTCATCTTAGTATCACAAGAAATTAAACATCGATACAGTCACGGCAGTGAGTGCCTACGGTTTATTTATGAGAGTGTAATCGAAGTTGAGAGCAATTTCAGAACACGCATTAAACAAAAATCTATTCAAAAGTTAGTTGAAGCGTCTTAAGGACATCATTACCTAGATCGACAGAAGGAGCGGGCCCCAGAACTAGGACTGGGTAAAAGGAAATTTAAAACGAATGGATGACTTAAACGTAGCAGATGCATTTTATGTTTGCTTTTCTTTTACCTTTCCTACTCCACCTCCGCCTGGATTTCCTGAGAGGCTGAAATGCAAACACAGCACAATTTTCCCACTCTCTCCAACTTATTTTCACATTATTTAAAAGAACCACCCACTATTTCCACTCAACGACTGGTGCAGGAATTCGCTTGAAGTTCTGCTCTTCAGAACCAGAAAACTTTGTAAGGTGAACTACCACTGAGTAGCAAGCCTTAGCACCCTCTCCAGGAGGACATTTGTTTGCTTGTTTGTTTCTTCATGTTAAAGGTATCCTTACGGTTATTTGACAGTTAAAGGTATCTTAGAATAGTCTTATTATTCATTGGGACAGTACACAGATTCACTTACTAGATAGCAAGACATTTCTTGTTTTGCACAGTTTCCTACTACATAAAATGTAAAATAGGAAACTCTGCAAAGCCTGTATTTTCATGATCTGTTTTATTAACATAATATTGTCTTCTCTTTATTTGGTAAAGATTTTACTTAATACAGAACAAATGCTTAGGTTCTTATTACATACATTGATCATCATTATATAATACAAATATATTTGCAACATTTCCATTTGGGGCAGACTTAAAAAAAAAAACAGCCTTTGTAAATCGTTTATTCATTCCTGGTTTTCCAACAATGAGATCTGGTCATATTTTTCTATAAAATAACATTTTTTAAAAATGCATTTTATTTAAAAGTTTGATGACATTTCAAGTTAATAACACAAATCAATTTTTATGGAAGAGATCTATTTTTAAAAATACCTCTAATGCTTTTTTAAAAAAAAATTAAAATCACAGGTTTTAAAATGTACTCTTCTTTTTTTTTTTTGAACATCAAGCATTTTGTTTCACAGATTTGCCGGTGAAATTAAAAAGATTTGGCTAAAGTGGGAAGACTTCAGAAGATATAAGCCTAGCTATTAAGAAACTTGATACATTTGGCATCTGATCTAGTCCCAGGTCACCAATAGGGAATCTTTAATCCCTCCAGAGCAGTAGGTGGCACACTACAGCTCCAAATGAACAGAGGCATTTGACACCATGGCTGGACAGATCAGTGGATGGTTTTTATTTATGTTAACCTCCAGAGAAAAGTTCTTTAGTTACAACATCTTCTTAGAAACGTTTTTTTTTTTTTTTTTTTTAGGCTGGAACAATACATGTAAACCTCCAAATGCCTCTGCCCCTGAATCCTGATTCAAGTATTTTGAAGGTGCCTGGCTATTACCTTCCACCACTCTGAAGTGAGGGCTGTGCTTGAAGAGATTCTGCAGTTAGAAGAGAGAGAGAAAAAAAAAACACTTTGATAAACACAGACAACTAATATAGAATTCATTTTATTCAAGAGCACCGCTTTCACATGAGTTATCTGAAAGTGAATTCTGATTCAGCAGAAAAATACATCATTCTCATCCTTTCCCCTCTTTGTGCGCCCCCCCCCCCCAACTTAAACATCCTCCCCTTCCCTGTATTTTTGGTTGAATTGAGTCTCATTTGTTGACTGGCTCTACTGGGACTTGGCCCAGTAGAAACACAAAAATGCACCCAAATCATAAAACTGTTCTTCTTTCAGTTATGTTTTATTTGTAAGTGTACTGGGACATATCTCTCTCTTGTATTTTGGTGCACAAAAGTGGTTCTGATAAGGGAGGAGGGAAAGATAATAGAGCAAAGACATAACCAAGGAAAAAGCTCAGCAGACATTGATGGACAGGTAGATCAATCCGTGAGGCATTTCAGGATTAACACTGGCAGTTTGTAACCACTGTGTGAGTGTGTGCATTCAAGAAAATATTTACAGTAATCTTCCTTTTTTCCTTTTCCTCTAAATACAAGAATATGACAAGAATGTTGTGTTTTCGGTGAAAACAGGCAGTTGACTGTGAAATCACACTATCCACAAAACGGTCTATCAGAAAGCTAGCCCAGTTTAGTGCTCAGTTTCAAATGCATAGAATGTTTGCGCTGCAAACAATGATATACAACATAATTAAATAAATAATGCCTAACCAGAGTGAGATCTAGTTGTGTTTCTTCCTGCACCTTTCAGATCATGCATGGTTTCAGTCTTGTTTCTTATCTGTTCTCAGTTTTTTAGTTCTTACTAAAGGATGGTAATAAACCATCTACACCCAATCAAGATCAAGGGTGTCTTGTGCACCAAGCAGGCATTTAACCTAACCACCTTCAACTGTTTTCTCTCTTTTTAATCCATCAGCAGTTCATAAAGTACCTTGATTATTACTATGAAATACTATACATGATTTTCTATTTGGGAGACTGATAGTGCAAATTAAAGTTCTTGCTACCCAACATTTATCCCCAGCAATAAATTACTTTTGGATAGTAATAATAATGAAACAGTTGTTCTGCTTCCCCCCCCCTCCCAACATGCAGACCTTTTTGAAATAAATGGAGGGCTTTAAGCCTGTCTTTCTCTCATCTGGGATTTTAGCTGATTTTCTCACAGCCAAGTCCTGCTCCAAGTGAAAGCAGAAACTTCTCACTATTTCAATGATTTCGTGTTCTCCAAAAGAGAAGAAAAGGGGACCTAGAAGAGTAAGATGGGTCTTGATCTGTGGAGAAAACGGGTCAGAGTATCTCTCCTACTGTCTGCCACCCCATCAATCTATTTGAATCAATAGAGAGAAAAAAACAAACAGTAGTTTAAAATAAGCCACTTAGGAAAATAAATGAAAGGGCAAGCAAGTTCTATGAGTGGAAGGAAAAGCTTATTTTGAAATGGTCTGTTTTCTAGATCTTAGCAATAAGAGCGCATATAGAAAGAGAAAAACCTGATTTAAATTGTTTTATTTTCCTAAATAAATATTTATTTCAGAGCCTCTAAAATTCTGCTTTTTAGTCAGCTCTCTCCCTAAAGACCCTCACCGACCAATCAGGCCACAGGAGTATATAGGCTGGGTCACTGGAAAACTTGTACTTCACCTAAACAAGCAGCCACTCCCGCCTCCTTCCTTTCAGGTGGGCTCCCACTGCCTTTCTGGCAATGGAGAGCAGTCATCGGAGGAGTCTTATTGAAAAAGAAAAAATAAATCAAAGAGGGTTTGGATGGGGTGTAAGACTTAGCGAGAAAATTAAACACAGTGACAGAACAACTAGCTTTGCTACCCAGAATTTCACCTTCGGGTTCGTCTGGTTTTTTTGGTCTTTGACTCAGTTCCTGTGCGTAAGGTTGGGGCGGTGGTAATAATCGTGCGTGGTGCTCTTTTTTTCTCTTCCTTAAGAGTTGTGGGGGGAGGGGGGGGTGGAATGAAGCTGCAGAATACGGCTCTCTGGAGTTACATTTCTAAAGTATTTTTTTCTTTGCTTTTGTTCTGTTTTGTTTTAGTTTGTCTTTATTTGTCTAGTTTTTGGTGGTTGGTAGGTTTTTTGTACATTGTTCCTTGGTCCCCAGGAGATTCTGATAAGTGTCTCTGGTCAAAAACAGTCCATTTCCCTACCCTTCCCGTCTCCCCCCACCCTCACCCCCAGAACCATCCTGCTCCTCAAACCCCCTTCTCGTCTCCTCTTTCCTTCCCCCCACTCCCCCTCCCCCAAGTGCTCCCCCTTCACCTCCACCCTACTCTCCCGAGTACCCACCGGGCACCCAGTCTTTTAGGCTGGGGAGGGTAAGGACGGGGAGAGCAGAGGGGAGGTGGAGAAGGAGCGCTCAAGGAGGGACTCCTCAAATGCAAGCAGGATAACGGCCGCTCTAAATCCGGGGGAGGGGGGATGATGGTGGTAAGCAGGCTCGGGGAAGGCCCCCCTCCCGGCGAAATGCCCCTTCGGCTCCCAGCTCTGCCCTGCCCGGTCCCTCCCATCTCCCCCCTCAGTAAGTGGCGGAGAATTTCATCCGCTTCTGCTTCTGTCTCTGGTTGCAAAACCACACCCGCACCACGTTCTTTTTGAGGTCCAGTTTCTCGGCGATGGCGGCGATCTTCTCGGACGAGGGCCGGGGCTGCACGGCGAAGTAGGCCTCGAGGGAGCGCTTCTCGGGCGCGGCGATGGAAGTCCGCTTGCGCTTCTTCTCGCCGCCGTTGAAGAGCTCGGGCTTGTTCATTTTCTCGCGCTGCGCGCCCTCGGCCTCCTCCAGCCACGCCTGCAGGATGGGCTTGAGCGCGATCATGTTGTTGTGCGAGAGCGTGAGCGACTCGAACCTGCAGATGGTGCTCTGGCTGAGTGAGCCCACGCCCGGGATCTTGAGGTTGGCCAGCGCCGAGCCCACGTCGGCCTGCGTCACGCCCAGCTTGATGCGCCGCTGCTTGAAGCGCTCGGCGAACGCCTCGAGCTCGCGCGGGTCCGTGTCCGAGTCGCAGATGGACGCCAGGCCCGCCGCGCCCACCACGGCCGCCGCCGCCGACGCCGCCGCCACCTGCCCGGCCGCTGCCGCCGCCGCCGCCGCCGCCGCGCCGTGGTGGGCCGCGGCCGCCACCAGCCCCGGGTGCGGCAGCCCCGACGGCATGTTCATGGCGGCCGCCGCCGCCGGGTGCGACAGGTGGCCCAGGCCGTGCATGTGCGGGTGCGGGTGCGCCGAGCCGCCCAGCAGCCCGCCGCCCGGGCCCCCGCCGCCGCCCCCGGGGCCGCCGCCGCCACCGCCCCCGGGGCCGCCACCGCCGCCTCCGGGGCCACCGCCACCGCCGCCCCCCGGGCCGCCGCCCCCCGGGCCGTCGTGGGCGCCGCTGCCCGCCGCGCTTGCGCCGCCCGCGCCGGCCATGAGCGCGAGCGAGGGCGACGAGATGTGATCCAGCAGGTCGCCGGGCTCGAGCGCCTGGTGGTGGTGGTGGTGGTGGTGGTGGTGCGCGAGCGGCACGGTGGACGTGGACGTGCAGGGCACGCTGTTCATCGTGTGGTACGTGGCGTCCGGCTTGAACGGGTGGCTCTTGCCCTGGGACACGGCGATGTCCACAGCCGCCAGCGCCTCGGCCCGCGCCAGCAGCGTTTCGTCTAGGCTGGCGAAGAGGTTGCTCTGCAGCTGCAGGCGACACAAACCAAACCAAAAAACAAAACAAAAAACAACAACACAAAACCAAAAAAAAGCAAAAACACGGAACAAAACCACACAAGCCGGAAAGCACAGCGAGCCAAAGGCAACACACAAAGCAACCAAAATAATAACAACGGGAGTGGGGATAGTGGAGACCGGGAAAGACAGAATAGGGACACATTGGGGACGAGATAGGGGGTCAGACGAGAAGGGACGGGCGTGTGCGGAGAGGGGGGCAGATGCAGAGGAGAGAGGGACATGGGGACACATTCCGGGGACGGGAGTGAAAGACGAAAAAGGAGGGGGAAAGAAGAAGAAATGAAGATGTAACTCGCAGCCGGGGACCGTGTCACGCACCCGAACACGCACAGAGACCGCCTTTCCAAGGCATGAAATCAACAGAGAAAGTGGAGGGAAGTCGAGAGACCTGGCCCCAGCGCTCCCCACTCCGATCGCCGGCGCCCGACACGGAGGCGGAGGCGACGGGAACCTGACATTAAGCGCCACGGTACAAAGCCTGCCTCGCAGCGGGATTCTTCTAAAAATCCCCGCCCGCGAATCCCCGCACCGGGATCTGTGCACATATCAGTACCCGACATGCAGCGTCTCGGAGACGGGGAGGGGGCGGGCGCGCGGGCCGGGTCCGCGGGCTTGGGGCGCTTACCGGCGGCGTGGGCAGGCAGGCCCGCCGGATGGCCTCGGAGCTGGAGTGCAGCGACGGGTACTTGTGCTCAGGGAGCGTGGGGTGCATGGCAAAGTGAGGCTGCTTGCTGTTCATGGACATCATCTTGATGGTTTAGCATGTAAATCCACAACTCCGAAAGTCCGCGGGAAAGTGCGCACGCCGGCTCCCCCGGCCTCGCTTCGGAGGCTGCAGCCGCGGCGGCTGGCGGCGCGGAGGCGGCGCAAGCGCCGGGGGCCGCTGCTGCTTCTGCCGCCGCCGCTCTCGCCTCGCGCTCCCTTTGACCGCGCAGATCGCCGCGCACCGGCCTCCCGATCCCACTTCTCCGCGAGCTCTAGCCCCGTGCGCCGACGGGATGCACTCCTCTTACACCTGAGCCCCAATTCTCGCGGCCGGTCCGGGGAGCTCTCGCGAGAGCTCGCGGGCCAGCCGTGCTGACAGGCATCAGCTGTCTCCGTCTGTCTGATGCGCGCTCTCCTTCTCGGCGGCGCCGTGCGTCTGCGCGCGCGCGCGCTCGCCGGGCCGCGACCGGCGCGTGGTAGCCGCTCTTATAGTGACCACCGGCTAGGACAGCGCAGGTGATGCACCTGTAGCTACCCGGACATGCGCACTGCACGCCTCACCTTTCCCATCGCGGGTCTGGAGAAGATCAAAGGGCCAGCTATTGTCTGAGGGTAGGCACCTTTTAGGGGGGAGAAAGACAAGATGCTCGCTGGCCCCTAGATGGTTTCCCTCCCACCTCCGAGCCCGGACCCAGATTGCTAGCCCTGAATATATGCGCATCACTCGGGCACACCTCCTCTCGGGGACGTCTAACAAGCTGTTATATAATGTATACAACTGAGCATTTGTATGTTAAATTATGCCCGCGCGTTCCTCTGTATACAGTATAAATAACACAGAAATGCAGAAGGTGCTGTCTTTTGCTGCAAGAACCTGTTTCTTTTCATGGTTTATAAATAGGTTCCTGGAGAATAATCGCGGTGACAGACATTTGTTTGAAGCAGTCAGCTGGTATTGATTTCCATATAATTTAATTTCCTCCGCACACTTCGTTGTTGTTGTTGCGACTATAACTGTATCAGGCACCGACAGTGACAGCCACTTAGGAGCCACAAGGAGCGTGTGCTTTCTACCAGGGAACGGCTGTTGAAATGAAATTGTGAATTTCTCTTATTGTTTGTCTGCTTTAACCGTGTACAAACCCACATTTCAAACGAGCTCCGGGTGATCTGAGGCTTCTTGTAATCAAAAGGAAAAACAGTTTACAGGGTGTAGTTGGGATCCTTACCTCGCTTCAGCGTACACACACACACACACACACACACACTCACACACTTCATGTTGGAAACTCCAGGAAAAGGAAATCGCTTCAGAGAAAAGGGAATAAGATATTGAAGAGAGCTTTATTTTCCCTTACATCGTGTCGGACTGTTTGCCTCTTTCTCTATGCATCTATCTATAGATAGATGTATATACACACACTTTTTTTTCTTCAATAGGAGACAGAATCAAGCCAGTTTACAGAAAAGCATGATTAAAAAATTAATTCAAATCAATTTAAAAGAACCGGACTCAAGCTCTCTTCCAGCCTTTAATTATTTTTATTTTTTATTATTTTTATTTTTTTATTATTATGAAATCAAAACGTAAGAGGAATAAATCAATTAGCCAACCTGCTATATGGCTCTTATGTGGCAGACAGATCAAGGGGCTCCCGGGGGAACCCAGTTCAGGTGCCAGAGTCCCCAGGGGCTCAGCGCTTGCCCAGGGTGATAATAACAGCCCAGATGTTATCGCATCTGCGGGGAGAGAGCTGGAGAGTGGCAAGGGGCTGCTTGTGGGAGGCAGAGATCAGAGAGATAATCTTTCTGGTCTGTCTCACACCAAGGAGATCGGTATTTCCACCAAAGATTAGATTCATTTCTATAAGCCTAATTTGCGTTCCCGTGGATCTCTGGATAAACGCGAGCGTGTTTAGCGGACCCATTCAGTACTCACATTCCAAGAACAGCCCACAGGCGTCACCAGGGCTTTTTTCCTCTTTCTTTTCTTTTCTCGCTACCTTTCTCTCTCCCCCACCCCCTTGCAGCTCGAGAGGGGAGTAAGAAGGATGCTCACTTGCTAGTGTGAGAAGGAACCTTGTTTTCATCCATTACGCTGTCCCGTGGGACTGCTAAATGCAACTTTATCTCTACGGGGAAAGGACGGCGAGCAGGACATCGCTGGAGGGAGCGAGTGAGTCTACGGTAGTCGTCGCACCGGGTGTCCAGGCTTAACTTAATCCTTCCTGACACCTATGGCTGCGGTTCCATGAGATATCCGGCGGGGGAGGGGGTGGGTGGCGGAGGGTGGGGTGGAGGAAGGGCCCCGCAGAGGAGGAGAGCCTAGATCCTGTCTCCCCCACCCCCTAGGGAAACAGTGGCTTTTAGGGACCCCAAAGAATGCAGGGAGGAAACAAATTTAAATAGCTACAAGGACTGTACGGTTTGGGGCTCCATGGACTCTGCGTTGGGGGGGGGGGCTCCTGAGTCCCCGAAGCCCATCTCAGTTTACCTTCCAATTCTAAGAGGGTACCAGCTAACCCACTGGTAAGTCCCTGGCCTGAGGGCAAGAGTTCACCATCTTGTTGAGACTCCTAGTTCACTTGAGTGAACTGGCCCAGTTGGGGGTGGGGGGCAGATCTTTGCCCAGAGTATCTCACTTTTCTCCAGGGTTGGGTACAATTACCAAGTCACTACCCACCCCTCCCAGTAATGGAAGCCCATTTAGAGCACATCTGTGTGTACCCTGGCACTTAGGAAAATGCCCCATAGAACAATACATGTGTGTAAGAGAAGGCAGATGGGGAGCGGCGGGAGCAAAAAGAAGTTCAGCAAGCCAGGGTCATTGGGGTGGGGGGCGGTGAGGAGGGGGGCCAGAGGGAAGATCACTGAATGGGTCTCCTCTCTACCTAAAAAGGGATGCAGATTCGAACAGAAGGGCCTGCTGTCCCCAGGTAGAGCTGCGTATCTTGATTCCAGACAGCTCTTTCTCCAAAATCATTTATTTCATCCCTCCCTCATTTACTTTCTACCCTACCTTCCTTCCTCAAATACTTGCTGAGCACCCATCTTGGCCAGGGCAAGACACTGGAGATTAAATGAAGTACAAAAGTCAGGTATCTGCCCTCTAGGCAGTCTATGATAGTGGGGTAGCTACAGGTGAAGGGGTGTTTCTTTGTGGTCCAGGGCAAGACCAAGGTGCAAAGAGAGGGACTTAGTGGGGGATGATGCTTGGGAGAATTAACCTACCAGCTCCCTGCCGGGCCTTAGTTCCAGGCTAGAGAGTGGGAGACGGTGGTGGATCTGCCGGCAGTTCCTTGGATCTTATCAAGCCTTTCCCTACGTTCCCCAGAGCAGTGAAAAGAAAGGGTGGCCAACTGGGGCTCAGTCCATCCATGTTACTGCTTTGTTTTCCAGGTTTGGCGACTGCAGTAACTGGATGGCCCATGCCTGAACTGGTGATACCCTCATGGGATCAGAGCCCTGGCATAGAATTCTGGGCAGGTTTTTTTTTTTTTTTTCCCCTGTTTAATGACCAGCACAGATTCCCTCCTTCCCCATCTCATAGCTTTGCATTTTATCAAGAGGGAGGTAATGAATGCACAGCTATTGATTTCCAAGGAATTTCTGCCCCCAGGGACAGGGAGTCTATCATCTGGATCAGAGACACATTTCTTTCCCTCATTAATTAATTTTCTCCTCCTTCTTTGGCAGGCCCCACTTCACGTTTCCTTTGGCAGCGCCTCTTTCTCCAACCCAGGGAGCAGACGTTGGTCGGTGGGAGTGAACACCGGCGGGAGAGAAGCGGCGCAAAGGAGGGACCAGCCGGGGGTGAATGCCCCCCGCCTTTGACCACCCCGCCCGCTCCACAGCTGCCACTCGCGGGGCAGCCTTTCTCTCTCCAGAGGAGCGCGGGGACAGTCTGCCCCTACCCCCACACCCCCGGTGGGGTTGAACCCGATTTATTAATCCACATTCAGGGACGGGGATGGGGTGGGGGCGGTCCTGAGGGATGTCCACTGAAGTGAGTGGAGATTGTGTGTGTACAAGTGGAGGAGGTCGGACCCCACGTTCTTGCCCAAACCCGGGGAGCTGGGCCAACCTACAAGCCCGGGCGGCCCCAGAGGGAGCTCTGCTCCTCGCAGACCCGGGGCGCCCCGTTTCCTCTGGGCTCCTGCCCAGAAACTCGGCCCATTCACTGCGCAGCCGGCGCCCTGCGCTGGGGAAAGTCGCCAGAGCCGGGAGTTGGCCGGCTTCCGAGGCCTCCTGGGTTGCCTACAGCGATGAGGCTGAACTGGTCAGCAGGGAAGTAGCAGGCCTAGAATTTGGGGGTGGGGGTCGGTCCTTGGAGGAGGGAATGCACTTGGTCTTTAGACCCCCTTCCCCTCCGACACCATCTGTCCGAAGGGTGGAACGGAGGAGGGACTCCTGCCGGACTTTCGCTTCCCCTCCGGGCGGCGGTGCGAGCGCCAAGGATGGGCTGCTCTGACCTTGGGCCTCTCCACCTCTCGCGCATCCCGGCCCAGCCCTCCCGCGGGGTAGGACGGGGCTCCTGGCCCGCCCGTCCCGCTCTGCCCGCCAGGCCGTCCTGGGCGGGTGCCGGGTCCTGTGCCATCCTCGAGTCCCAGCCCAGCTCAAGGCGCGAGTCCACAGCCAGGCTCTCGTACGTTTCCCGAAGGCCTCTTCCTTCCTTTTCCACCTCCTCTCCCACCCGCACCCTGGCCTCTTGTCCCGCTCGGTCCCAAAAGGCCGTGGGTGAGTAACTGAGGCCGGTGGTGATCAGCTCCTGTAAAGCTCCGGGCTAGGACCCGCGGCGGAGGTTCTCGAGGAAGCCGATGGATAACCCACTGCTTTCATTCCTCTGGCCGTTTAATTCAAAGGCAACGTCCGTTGGGAACATTGCGACCACCCCACTCCCTGATACACTTGCGACCTGGGTGATGAGGCAGTAAAGTTCACAGCCGGTCATTATTACTCTTGGCCGTTACATTTGTAGATATCTATGTATATATACCTCCCCCTAACCCCGCGGTGGACTTAAACCCACCTACCTTGTGAAAG